TTTCACACCGTCGAAACTAAATATTTCAGGACGGGCTGTGACATGCATAGTATTAAAAATACTATGTTACACCCATGTTTATACAACAATAAAACATGCATAACATATCTAACAATACATGGAAAATAATTTACCTACAAGTTAGATAAATGTTATTTGGTTGGGTGTAGTATAAATTTTTTTAATAATTGGAAAAATTAAATATAACTAGGTGTAGTGTAATTTTTTTTAATATAATTAGAACAAATTAATTTACCTGCCTACTATTTGAAATGTTCATTTCAAATGATGCAAAATGTTCATTACCTAACTACAAATTAATTTCCAATAATTTACGTACAACAATTATACCATGGGTGTAATGTAATATCTTTCTTTACAATGATACAAAATATTGTATGTACCAACAACAAAACGTGCCTAACATAAGTACTTGTACATGGAAAATAATTTACCTATAACAAAAGAAATGCAGTTTGATGTATAAAATCAACAATATTATGTTACACTCATGTTTATACAACAACAAAACGTGTCTAACATATAGGTGGTTCCGACTCGTAAATGACCCGCGATTATTCGCACAGTCTCCCGCCCGTGGCCAAGGCCTAGTCCTTCACGTGATGTTCACCTCCCGCACCTTACGCTCACCTTGGATCCAAGGTAGATGCACATGCGTCTTCACGTGATCGTAGCACTTGAGCGTATTTATTTACACCCAGTCCTGTCGTACAGACCACCTTAAGTGGTTCCGACTCGTGTGCAGGTATACTTATGAGATATGGATAAGTCGTACAGGTCACTAGAGGTGACTCCCGACTTATAAGCTAGCATATGTAATGAGATATGGATAAGTCATATAGGTCACTAGATGTGACTCCCGACTTATGAGCTAGCATATGTGATGAGATATGGATAAGTCGTACATGTCACTAGAGGTGACTCTCGACTTATGAGCTAGCTTATGTGATAAGATATGGATAAGTCGTACAAGTCACTATAGGTGACTCCCGACTTATGATGAGATATGGATAAGTCATACAAGTCACTAGAGGTGACTCCCGACTTATGATCTAGCATGTGTGATGAGATATGGATAAGTCGTACAGGTCACTATGGTGACTCCCGACTTATGAGCTAGCATATGTGATGAGATATAGGTGCAGTCGTACAAGTCACCATAGGTGACTCCGACTTGCGTGCTAGTATGGGTTATTAATCACATGATTATTGATATTGCTGATGAGATGCTGTGTTGTGGTATATTTATGGTTTACTATTGATATACTTTTAATTTCACAATGATACGTGGTATGATTTTCTGGAAACTATACAGGTGTTGCAACGAGGGGTTATAATGTTGTAGATTGTTTCTATTAAAATTTCATATCTAAGGCCACTCACCCTTGTTTTGTTGTCACCCTCCAGGTTTTATTAGCTAAGCTTTCTTATCGTTGAAGATTCGTGACGATTCTTAGTGTTGGAGATTCTTTTGAGGGTACGATTCTTAATCCACTCTACTGTACTTACTTATGTTCTAACGTCACGTGTGAAGTGGGTTTATTCCTGCTCACTAGCGCACTCTGGTATTTAGGCACTCTTAGGTTTAAATTTATTCACATTTTTTTTCACATCTTCACACTTTATGGCTTCGTCACCTTCCAGGTGTCGGCCAGCGCAACTCGATTCGGATTCCTAGTGGACATTCCGGGTCGGGATGTGTCAATTTACCTACCAATTAATATGGGTAAACTTGCTACAAAATATATCACAAAAAAAAAAAAAAAAAAAAAAAAAAAAAAAAAAAAAAACAACTACTTTTCTAGTTTGACATTGATACGGTTAATGCAAATACTTTTTACATTTTATTTCATTTTTTCTACTACTTTTAATTTGGCATAAATTTAGGATTTTGGAAAATGGACCATAAAGTATAAGTGGCATGAGTGTAAATAAATTGTATTAATACGTTAATAGTGCTCCCATATGTTTGCAAATTTTAAATTTGGGCTTAAACTGGATCTTTGAAGATAGATGGGTTTTTATTTAGAAATAATGAGTTGTAAGGGTCAAAATCTTAAGCACCTTTTTTTTTTTACAAGAGACGTCATTGTCACGGTATACCCGGTATCATGTAAGTCACTTTTCATTGAATGGTCCTAATAGTTGAACTGTCAAAAAGGTATCTCTAAAATAAGGTGCCAAAGCCAACTTCTTTCAAGCTTTTTCTGTTCCAATCCTCATCAAGTTTTTGCTTTCCAAAAGTTGGATCATCCAAAAGAATCTCAGGAGGCCCCCCTCTTCACCTTGATCACCTACAATGTCTTATAAATGTGCACCTGCTTCACTCCTCTACGACTTTATATTTTGCTACAGTGCTCTTTAACTTTATAGCTGCATGTGTTAAAATAAAGTTGCAAAGCAATATATTCAGTTTCAAGCCACCGAAAAAATGCAATGAGACCTTGAGATTTGATGAAACCACGCTGAATGGTTTCAAACTTTACAAACTGGGAAATTTTTTAAATGTCCTATAAACTTAATTTGTATGAATACAGATTTTAAGCGAACTGTCATATGAACTTTTTGAAATTATTAATTCATCATCTGACTCTTACTATGTTAAGTTTTTATTCCAAAATATGTCGTGCGTAAACACATGACTTGTTTTTAGAGTTATTTTGGACATTTCAACTTTTTTTTCATAAGTTCCCTACTTTGGAAACCATGAATTTTTACTATTATAGACATTACTTTTGTGTTTGTTTAAAAAACTTTTGGTGGGACTCATTCACAAACACGGAGTTATGGCTTATTGCAATATTTGAGAATTTTACGTGGTCAATTATGGCTCTCTTTCATTTCATTGCTTTGCCACGAGTAATCACTTAGTAAAAGCAATGTCAAGTTTGATATTTATCATTGTTTTAGAGGGCAGCTATACTTCAAAAATATGTGTACATATGAGGACTATAGTTGGAGAGAAACTCGTTCAAGATTTTTCCGTGTCGTCATATTATGTTGAAATGTCAGGAATAAGCCCGAACACAAGATATGTGCATATGACTTATTTTAATAAATATTTGAGAAAATAGATATGACAATTCACCTAAATTATTAATTCATATGACAAATTGAAAAATTGTGTGAAACTTCATGACATTTCAAAAAAGTCCCTAATACAAGAAACATAAGCTAGAAGTTGGAGAAACACCATGACAACCGTAAGCTTATAGAAAAACACTTGAAAAACAAATTAAATTCCAAAATTATTATAATTTGGACCAAAAACCAACATAAGGACATGCAAAGACTTGTAGTTGAAGTAATTTAGAGCGTTTAACCTTATACTCGAGATCTTAAATTTGAATCACTCTTTTCATATATTGCTTGTTGATGAGTAGATTTTATATTATATATTTTACCCTAATCTTAGTATATTTTGGTTAATATATTGGAAGAATTTTGATACTTTGAACTGTATTTTCAATATAAGACTTTCGACTTCCTCTGGAGCAAAACAGGACCAAATGGACGAATTTTGGAGTAATTCCAATTGAAGGACGTTCGTGAGTCACTTAGCTTGATCTTATCAAAATTTGGGATTTTTTCACCAAGCGGTTATTTTCTGGCGATGAAATAAAGAAGCAGTGCGCAGTGCTGGAAAATGACGTTTTTGGGCTTAAATGACGTTTTTGGAGCCCAAGATGACCTCGGATGGGTTCATGGCCTTCTGGAAAAGTGTTCAGAATATTCCAAACATCAAATCCAGCTATATTGGGCCAGTTTTGGAGCAGCTTATGGGCCAAAACGTGGCTGTTCAGATTTTAGACGAATTTTACTATTTTTATTTAGGGTTTTTATTAATTTTAGTTTGCTAGGGTTTGTGTGGTGGCTTAGCAAATATATTGCTTGGCCGTCTATAGTTTTAGAGTACGCTTTATTTTATGCAATTTTTGGGAGACAGAGAGAATTGCTAGGGTTTTGAAGATTTTCTACTTGAAGGTGTTTTCAATCCTTTTCTTGATAGATATTTCTATGATTTCAAATATGAATATGAGGAACTAATTTCCTTTGCTAGGGCGAAGCCTTGAGCCTTAGCATGAATATGTGATTTTTATTTAATTGCTTATGATTGATTGCATGCATATTTTGAATTGTTAATCACCGGGATAAAAACTATCTAATTGTCTTAATGCCTGATCACCATTAGGATCTTTAGAAAAGTAATTTGATGCAATTTTGGTCGGAATGTTCCCTGAAATTGACGCTGGCTTCTTGTGATTAATAATTGTAATTTCTCTTAGGATGAATATCACGTCTTAAGGATTGCATGGTTTTTCAAAGGATTTTCATAAAGCATAATGAGTCTTTCATGTTTAGATTTGATCCGAACGTCCGGACGGGTTGCATGTTAGATATACGTTCTATGTTGGAGGTTCCAAGTAGAATATGAATTAGGAAAATCTAACCTTCAAAGTGGCATGTGTAGATCATAAGTAATTGGTAAAAATTCATAGGATTGCTAGGTGATGGTGGAACCCTAGTGCTTTCTTAATTTGATTTTCTCAAAACTGTTTTCTTCTCTCTAGTCCTAATATTGCAGATTGTTTATTTTAATTCATTAAATTCGTTTTTATTTTAATTAGGTTATAAAATCAATCACTTCAATTTCTATTTTACAATAATTAAATGGAATCTGATTAGTTCGAATTATTTAATAATCCCTGTGGAGATGACCTTGCGAAATCCGTTTATACTACAATAACCTTGTGATTCTTGCAAGTAAAATAGGATATTTAAGCCTGTTCACATAAGTAGTAAAAATCCCTATCAAGAAAATGGCGCCGTTGCCGGGGATTATTTAAAATAATCCCTACGAATCAGATTTTCAATTAGTTATTGCTGTTTATACATATAAAAAAAATATTTAATTTTCGTTTTCATTTTATTTTTACAGATTACAACAGTACAACAGTACAGATTTCAAAAATCTGTGCATGGTCAGCACCCGTTCAACAGTGCAGAAATTGATTCCACTTGATCCAGAATTTGAGCAGCATTTAAAGAGGAAACGCAGAGAGCAAAATTTGCAGCGGGTTCGTCCTCTGCAGGAGACGTTTCTGAAATCAGTCTTTGACCTGCACAACAAAGAAAAAATGGCGTTTGTAATTCCAGAGGCAGGTCTGCCCCTGGGTGATTCACTGACTGCCCATTCCACAAATATACCCAGTTGCATTACATATCCGGTAGTGGAGGAAGGGAATGCATTTGAAATAAAACAGCACATGTTGAATATTCTACCTACGTTTCATGGGTTATCATCTGATGATCCTAACATGCACATTGCAGAATTTTTAATGGGGTGCAAAAACATTTTGGTGAGGAGATTTTCAGCCGAATCTATTAAGCTGCGGTTGTTTCCATACACTCTAAAAGATCAGGCACGGAGATGGCTCCTCACACTCCCATCTGGAAGCATTACAACTTGGGCCCAACTTAGCGAAAAAATTTTAAACAAGTATTATCCAGCTTCTAAGACGCTTGACATGAGAACTCAAATTTTATCGTTTGCCCAAAAACCAAATGTAGAGTTTCACGAGGCGTGGGAGCGGTTTAAAGAGTTGCTTACAAAATGTCCACATTCGGGTATTAACACTACTGATCAAATGCATATATTTTTCAGATGTTTGAATATGACTACAAAAACTCTTGTCAACGCTTCATGCAGAGGTTCGTACAAAGATAAAAACGCACAAGAGGCTTGTTTGTTATTTGAAAAAATGGCAGCAGATACTCAACAGTGGGCAGTTGAGCAGCCACAATCTAGGTCTGTTTTTGAGATGTCAAATGGTTCACCATACGTGTCGGCACAAATTGAAAAAATGGAGAAAAAGCTTGAAAGATTTGATGCAAAATTTGACATGTTATTACAAAGAATTTCGGGTTCACAGGTTGCTGTACAGCAGCCTTTACAAGCTGCCTGCAGCATTTGCAGCTTGACAAATCATGATTTTTTGAGCTGTCCACATAAAGATGCTTATCCGGAGTTTACAGCGGAGCAGGTTAATTCATTTAACAATTTCCAGCGTCCCCGATATGACCCGTATTCTAATTTCTACAACCCAGGTTGGAGAGATCATCCTAATTTAAGGTGGGACAAGGAACAGCACACTAGGCCTCAATTTCAACAGCAGGTACAGCAACCTGCTACACCTAAGGCTGCTTGGGAAGTTGCAATTGAAAAATTGGCAAATACTACCACTCAAGAAATTCAAAATCTACATGCAGCAGTGAAAAACATGGAAAAACAAATGGGACAGATTGCTTTACAGGTTTCCGAAAGAGCTCCGGGTACATTTCCTAGTCAAACAGTACCTAATCCAAGAGGACAAGAAGAATGCAATGCTATACAGACCCTACGGTCTGGCAAAAGTTACAACAACAAACATGAAAATTCTGTTGGGAATTCGCAGGCAGCAGAACTACCCCAAACTAAATCTGCAATTTTTGCAGATTCTGAAATTTCTGCAGATTCTGGGCAGTCCCAAGACAGATCCGAAAATACTGCAGAAGCTTCCACAAAAACTGCAGAACGTGTTTACGAGCCCCCTATGCCATATCCAGAAAGGTTGAGACCTAAAGCTAAAGATCAACAGTTAACAGATTTTATGAAAACTTTGGCTAAAGTTCAAATTAATCTACCGTTAATTGATGCAATCAAGAACATTCCATCTTATGCCAAATGTTTGAAGGATGTTTGCACAAAGAAAAAAAAGCTTGTTGATTTTGAGAAAGTGATTCTTACAGAACAATGCAGTGCGGTCTTATTACATAAATTGCCTCCAAAGAAAAAAGATCCAGGGAGTTTTACTATCTCTTGCACCATTGGAAATTGTGATTTTAGTAGTGCTTTAATTGATTTAGGTGCTAGTGTAAACTTAATGCCATATTCTGTTTTCAAACGTTTAGGTGAAGGGGAGCTGAAGCCAACCTCCAGTATTATTCAACTGGCTGACCGTTCAATTACTTACCCTAGAGGAGTCATTGAAGATGTTATTGTGAAGGTTGACAATTTATATTTACCGGCTGATTTTATGGTGTTGGACATGGATGAGGATTTGACAACGCCCATTATTTTGGGCCGCCCATTTCTGGCAACAGCCCGAACTCTTATTGACGTTGAAGCCGGAACATTAACATTCCGGGTTGAAGATCAAACTGTTGTTTTCAAGTTGTTTGAAGCAAGCATACATTCAGGTGACAAGCAAGAATGCATGCGTGTTGATGCATTGGATGGTTTACCAAGTGCCAAGTTTATGAACAGATCATCACTTGTATTAATGGTAGTTGAGATGTGATAGAATTTCTCACAATTCAAATTAGCCAGGCCATTGTCAAAGAGTCAAAGATCGAAGTCAGGCCTGGCAAACGGATTGTGTTTTTCATATTCGTAACACCTGTTATCTTAACGGGTTGTGTCGTGTCACACTCGTTATCTTGACGGGTCTTTAACAGGTTGAGTCACTTTACCCAACGGGTAAAATGACCCGACCCTTTATGACCCGTTAAGAAAAATAATTTTTTTTCTTAAATTTGCACATACCACATTGCCATATAAATATTATTTCAAAACATAAAAACACATTTGTCATTAAGTAATACATCTACCCTCTAAAATAAGAGTTTAATAAGAAAGCATCAATACACTATTAGTCTACTACAAAATATCAAAGGTGCAAGGATATGAAAAACAAATGAGTTTTTCTTTTCAAAGTTGTGAAGCCTTTCTCAGAAGTTAAAACCTTGCCAATGAAACTCAAAGCTTGCATGTTATTCCTTTTACAAAATCCTTCAATTTTCATCAATCATCATGGAGAAATTGTATTGGAACTTTGGCTTGATTTATTGCCTTCAAGAGTTATGTTGATGATGTTTTCAGTAAGGTTTTCTACATTACAACCCCCTTTCGCATAAACTAACTCACTAGTACAAAAATTAATTTGTGCGACACAGGTCCTTCGTCGTGCAAAGTAAAAAAACGTCATGCAAAAATTAGCACAATGAAACCTTTGTTGCACCAACCTTCACGCCAAGGCAATGAAAGCAAGGATTGCACGAAGAAGAAGTAACCTTTGTTGCGCAAACCCTTATTTTTTGTTTTTTTTTTGGCAAAAATATTTTTTATTTAATTTTTAATAAATATTGTACTTAAATTCTAAACAATAATTAATAAACCAAGAAAAAGTATTTAATTATAAAATATATGAAAATATACATACCAGATGTCCGAACAAAAAAAGAAAAAACTACAAGAAGTAGTCTTGTAGGTTTGATAGATCAGGCTACTGAGTATTAGCTGGGCGAAGTGGCTAGGAGGTCGAAGGTGAAACAAGATCAGGTGCTGGCATTAGGATTTGGAGGCCGTACAATCATACTCATCTGTTTGCCCTAGGCCCTCATTTGCTCGCCCTAGGCCGCAAGCTGACCTCTTAGGGTTGTCACTTCCTCCTTCAGGGCATTAACCTCTCCTATGATCGATCTGGAATCTGTGATAAATTTTAAAGATCTAAATCACTATTTATAACAACTAAAACATGTTTCAAGATGCCCAGTAAACACTCTAGTAAGCAAACATTGTAATCAAGAAATAGTACCAAAACTTCATTAGACTAATTGATATGATCAAAGTACCATACAAAAACAGTTTACTTCGTATAAGCCATTCAACTAGACATATGACCATAGAAGCTACCTAGTAAACAGGTAGGAAGGTAACAGAAGCAACTGATGCTGTTAGGGGATTTAAATCCCATAATGTTAAGTCGAGATCTAAACACCTTGAGAAATGCATGTTCAAGTTTCGATAACCAGCAAAAGATAGCTTGCATAGTTCACCAGGAACACTGTGACATATCTCTGTGCCTAATAACATGGTATAAAAACATTTAATCATGTAAATATTAAAAAAGTGGTCCACCCAGTGGCCGCTATTTTTTTTTTTAATTTGTGAGAGAGACATTTGCTCGCAAACAGATGGAATAAAACTACGAAACGGATGCAGGGGTCGAGAAGGCCACTACAAAAACAACGAAACCAAAACAAAGAGAACAAACTAGAAGGCTCTCTCGCAACAACACCCGATGGTCAATATGGGGAACAAAGAAAGAAACTGAGGGTGGATTCTTCATTACTTTTCTATTAACTGTTTTAACCTTGTTCAAGGATTATTTCTAAACCATGAGGATATCCAATGATACGTTGGCAAAAATAGTTGGATCCAAGTAGGTCATGTAAAGTTTTGACTCTACACTGTATCATTTGAAATATAAACCAAAGAAAGAATAACACTACACAACAAACAATGAAAACCTAGCTCTTAAACAGCAGCAACCAACTTGTGATAAATTGAGAAAATTGAAAAGGAGAATCCATTGACCATTGAATATATACACTTTCAAAAGGTGCCTCGAAAGGAGGAGTGTGGTGCTCCGTCGACGAGCCCGTCCTGAAGTCGGAACGTCGTCTGAGATCTGAGGGGCTAGTTTTTCTTTCTCGAAACTCTGGTTGCAAATCCGGGGACTTGGCTCGGGTCTCGCGGTTAGCTGGGGTGACTGTGAGCGAAGTAGATCTGGTGGTTCGTGGGTGGCCCGCCTCGCTGAGGAGATCTGGATCTGGTGGAGATCTGAGAGTAGATCTGGTACCTGTGGTAGGCTTTTGAGGAAATGGCCACTGAAGGTGAGTGGGGTGAGCATTTCTGACTGGCATGGCTGGGGGAAGTCCGAAGGCGGATCTGGAGGAGTTAGGGACACGATTTGGGACCAACCTCATCCTGTCTAAGAAAGAACAGGGAGGCGTGTGCATTGAGAGAAAGGATGTGGAAAGTGCGCTATTAGGGTTTCAGTACACTTTGATTGCAGAAGTTCTCACTGCTAAGGTGGTGAAATGAGACGTGTTTGTTGACTGCATTATGTCCCTCTGGCACGGACGTGAGAAGGTCTCAATTAGGGAGATTGAAGATCAGAGATTCCTCGCTCGTTTTGCGGGGAAAAGGGATCTGCAACGGGTGGTTGATGTTGATCTGCCTTGGATGTTCAAGAATGACCTTGTATTGGTGGCGGATCGAACGGAGAAGAGCCTGAACTGATGGACCCTTCTCTCCTTGGGGGTGTTCTGGGTCTAACTGCATAATGTCCTGGTGCTCAGTATGACCGAAGCGGTAGCTGAATCAATAGGTAGTTTGATGGGTACGGTTCGATCGGTGGACAAAACTGGAAGTCGGGATTGCATTGGACGATTCATTCGGGTGAAAATTGGATTCAATGTTCGCGAACCCCTAATGAGAGGACCTTTGTGACCTTTCCTGATGAAGGCAAGATCTAGATTGATTTCAAGTATGAATCGCTTCCTAACTACTGTCTCATTTGTGGAAAGCTAGGACACCCTACTAGGATTTGCAAGGAAACACTGGATGAAAGAACAGGTCCAGAGGATTGCCCTAAGACGAGGAATGAGGCCTTTGCGTTTCGTGGTTTAGATGCAGTGTTGGACCTGAGAGGCAACCCGCTGGGATCTGGATCCAAAAGCAGGGCATCATCTGGGTCAAATGGTAGGAGGAGTGGCTCGGAGCGGTAGAATGATGAAAGAAACGATGAACTAGGTGGTGGTAGACGTTTCGGGCGATCTTCGACGACGTCAGGAATGGGATGTCAACCTCAACAATTTGCTAGCAGATCTCAAAGTGGCAGTGAGTGCACCGCGCCGTTGGAAGATGAAGTTATTGACATTGCAACATCGCCAAGCAAGCCCCGGTGGTCGTCCAACAAAATTAGACACAGAGACAAGGAGCTTGTTGGAAAAATCAAACGCCAATGGCTAATTGAAAAAGAGGCGAGGTCTGCGAGAGAACTGGCTTTTGATGCAAGCTTAATTGGGCCGGGGGGAGTGATGGCAGCGGGAGCGGAACACGTGGTACTCAACGACAACTACGAGCAGGAGGGACGGGTGGATACGGTCAGCGTGACATTCAATGGAGGCTCTACTTTTGACCTTAATCTTATGCCTGTCGTTGGTGAGGATGGTGACAGTGTGAGTGTTAGTCGAAGGAAAGCGAGTGATGGTCAAGGGTGCGTGAGTGGTAATGACCTGGCTACGGATGATGATCCTTTTGAGCTGGAAGCTATCATTGAAGCCGTGATGAATGAGAATAAAGGTAAAAAGAGAATTTTCAGAGAGTATGAATATGATGAGGTTAACCCTTGTGTGGAACCTAAAAGATCTAAGCTAAGTAGGAAGTCATTTGTTGAGGCGGATGAGACCAGCCGTGAAGGGTCTCCCAAGTCCAAATGAGGCTACTTACTTGGAACTGTCAGGGTATCGGGGGTGACCTGACAGTTGACAATCTGCTGGAGCAGAATCGGCTCCACACCCCTAACATTATGGTTTTGCTGGAAACCAAGAATAAAAGCAATCATTATGGGTATCTCAAGAAACGTTTGGATTTGGAGTACATGCACGCAATGGAACCTAGGAGCATTGGGGGATGCCTCTGTGTTTTCTTGCGGGATACTTCCCAGGTAACGCTGGTGAAGTTTAAGGACTTTGTTATTGAAGTTAAAATTTGGGACGAGCATAAGAAGTGTCACTGGTATTTGTTTGTTATCTATGCTAGCACTGATGAGAAAAAACGGCAGGACCAATGGGGGTACTTGAGCAGGCGACTTGGGAATAATAAGGGAAAGACTTTTCTCATCGGGGATTTTAATGACATTCTGTGTAATGATGAGAAAGAGGGGGGCAACTACAGACCGACGTCTAGCATGCGTGATTTTAGAGAGTTTGTGGCTCAAAATGAGCTCATGGACCTAGGCTTTGTTGGTTATCCGTTTACGTGGCGGAACAACCAAGAGGCGAAGCCTATTCAGCAGCGCCTGGACCGGGGATTGGCTACAATAGGTTGGCAGGACCTATACCCTGAGAACACAATCAGGCACGTGGTTTTGGAAAGGTCTGATCATGCCCTGTTATTTTTTGCCATGGAGAAAGTGAAAGTTGGGAGGGGAAGAAAATTCTCTTATGATGTTCGATGGAGCAACATGGAGAAGTGTCGACAATTGGTGGTAGAAGAATAGAAAGATAAACATGAGGGGTCACACGCCTTTCGCTTTTGTGAAAAATTGAAAGCCCTAAGACGCAGGCTTAAGGAATGGTATAAGGGGAGAGGACAGAATTCAAATAACGTTATCGAACAGTTGAAAGATGAGATCAGAGCAGCTTATATGTCTACCGATTTCGCCTCGGATGCGGTTAAGATTAAGAAGAGAGAGCTCAGGGCCGCCCATCGAAACGAAGAAACTTACTGGAAGGTGAAGTCGTGTGCCCAATGGTTAAAGGACGATGATAAAAATTCTAAGTTCTTCCATGCGCAAACGCTTAAAAGAATAAGGTTTAACCAAATTAAGGGATTGGATGACTTGAATGGAGTGTGGCAGGAGGAGGAAGCAGCGATCTCTTCAATCACTACCTCTTGTGGAGTTATTTAAGTCGAGTAGTCCTAGTCAAATCGATGAGATTGGGGAATGCCTGGCACCACGGATGTCTGTTGAGGACAACCTTGCTTTAACGGCAGCAGTGTTTGAGAAGGAAATCAAAGTGGTTGTCTTCCAAATCCCACCAATCAGGGCCCCGGGTCCGAATGGGTACTCTGGATGTTTTTACCAGGATCATTGGGATACAGTGGGCAAGGATGTGGTCAAGATAGTCGAAGCCTTCTGGCATTCTGGTACCATTCTGAGGAAACTTAATCACACTAACCTAGTGCTTATTCCTAAGGTTAAATGCTGGAAGAACATGACGCAATACCGGCCTATTGCACTATGTAATGTAATCTACAAAGTCATTGCCAAGGTTCTCACTAATCGGTTAAAGTTGGTGATGCCAAAGGTGATTTGTGACAACCAATCGGCCTTTGTGGCGGGGAAACAAATCCTGGATAACATATTGGTGGTGCACGAGCTCCTACACTTACTGCTTCATCAAAAAAAAGGTGATCAGTCTGGCATAGCTATTAAGCTCGACATGGCTAAAGCGTACGACCGCGTGGAATGGGTGTTCCTCTTATCCATGATGGCGAATTTGGGGTTCGTGCCTTTATTTTACAACTGGATCAAGGAGTGTATTTCCACTGCCTCGTTCAGCATCCTAGTAAATGGAAACCCGACTGGGTTTGTCCTGCCGGAAAGAGGGCTGCGACAAGAAGACCCCTTATCTCCCTATCTCTTCATGCTTTGCACTGAAGGTCTCTATGCTCATTAGGAGAGGAATGGAGCGGGGTGCCCTCCACGGTTTCAGAGTGTCGGCTAATGGGAACCCGATCTCGCACCTGTTTTTTACGAATGACTCGGTGTTATTCGGTCATGCCAGTGTAGAGGAGGCGAAAGGCATCTTGGAGGTGCTACGGACATATGCCCGTGGTTCTGGTCAAGCTGTTAATCTTTCTAAAAGCTTGATCTTCTTTGGCTCGAAGACCTCGAGCAGGGTTAGGAGGAAGATTGGGCAAACCATGAGAATCCAATGTAAGACCGGGTTTGGTAGGTATCTTGGGCTGCAAGCTGATTTTGGCCACTCTAAAAGAGTGGTATTTGAAGAGGTGCGGGACAGGCTTGAATCTTGGTTGGCGGGCTGGGCTAAGCAATTTCTATCTCAAGCAAGAAAGGAAGTCCTAATCAAGGCAGTGGCTATGGCGCTGCCAAACTATGCCATGAGTTGTTTTAAGTTACCCATTGGGGTATGTAGAGACCTAGAGAAAGCTATCCGGAATTTTTGGTGGAAAGGGAGCGAGCAGAGGAAGGGTGTCCACTGGATCTCATGGGAGCGGTTAATGAAGCAAAAACAGTTCGGCGGGCTGGGCTTTAGAGATATCCAATGTTTTAATCTGGCTTTCCTTGGCAAGATTGGGTGGCGGCTGATCCAAATTCCGAGGTCTCTGCTTGCTACTGTCCTGGAGGAAAAATACTATCCTGGAAAGAGCTTTACTGATGCGGGTAAGGGTAAGAACACTTGGGAATGGAAAGGCATCTTTGAAGCCCGCAACGTGCTCCTACAAGGCCTGCGATGGAGGGTAGGGGACGGGGCCTGTATCAACATCAGGGAAGACCCTTGGTTTCCTAGGCCCTCTACTTTCAGAGTTATGCCAGTGGTGAACTTGCAAGCTACCTTGGTTAGCGAATTAATTGATTTGGGGTCCAGCTCTTGGAAAAGAGATCTGATTTTGGCAAGCTTTCATCGGGATGATGTGGGGCCGATCTTAAGCATCCCCTTAAGCAAGATTGGGTGCCGGGATAGGATGGTGTGGCATCACAATGCGAATAGGGTTTATTCGGTTCGATCGGGGTATGGGTGGCTATAAACCTTATGGAAAATGGAGCTTTAGGGAAGAAAGGTCGTGGTTCTGCTAGCGAAAAACCAAAAAATTGCTACGCTTGGAACCTGATCTGGAAGTTGAAGGTACCCAACAAAATTAAAATTTTCATCTGGCGGTGTTATAACAACGCACTGGCTATTCGTCGTAATCTGAAACGGCGACATATGAGAGTAGACAACGTCTGTGAAGTGTGTGATGCTGTGGATGAGTCGGAAATTCATCTATTCTTCCGTTGTAACCTCAGCCACCTGTTATGGTTCTCCTCTTCGCTTCAGTTGAACTCCTTTGAACTGGCAAGTGCTGACTTCCTAGCTAGTTGGGAGTTGTTCTGGTCTCGGGTCAAGATGAGGGACACCGCGGATGAGATCATGCAAGAGTTTGCCTTTGGGTTATGGAGACTATGGAAAAACAGAAACAAGGTGGTTTTTAATGGTGTGCACAGGCAGCCCTTGGAACTTTTGGAGTCCTGGAGCAGGAACATCTCTGAATTCAAAGACGCTACACTCACTGCGATTGTGGGAAAACAGCCTAAGTGTCGACCGATGATCTCGTCGTTGGACCGTAGGGGTTGTAGATGGGAGAAGTCGACGTTCGGGGTCCTCAAGGTCAACACTGACGCCTTGTGGTGCAAGACCACTCTCCGCACGGGGGTGGGATGGGTCTGCCGTGACTTTGCGAGACTTCTTCATGGTGCAGGGGGATCGGGTGTTGAGTTGTGTCACTCTGCAGCTGCTGGGGAAGCTTCTGCAATTAGGACCGCTCTCATGGCTTGCATTGACTACAGGTATGATAATGTTGTTATTGAATCTGATGCCAAGGTGATTATTCAAATGCTTAGGCATGAACTGCCTCATGATTTCAGTTTCAAATGTATTCTTGGTGATATTGAGGTTCTAGCGCGTAGGTTGATGTCTGTTTCGTTCTCTTCCGTGCCTAGGGAAAGCAATGTTGCTGCTCACTCGGTTGCTAAGTTTGTTTTCAAGGAGGGTCGTGAATTTGGGTGGGACTATATTGGGCCTGAATTCTTGTTTAACATCCTAGCCCAGGATGTAAATCTCTCTATTCGTATCTAATATATTTCTATCTTTGGAAAAAAAATATATATATATACACTTTCAATGTAAAAGGGAATTGTCAAAACTTCTAGGGCAGTTTAAGATATTTCTAAGAACCAGGTTTCAAATTTTACTTAAAACCATCATTGCAACATATAACGAGGTAAAACTCGGAAATTCATGCTGCATTACAACATTTTGGCTTAACCCATAAATAACTTAGCAAAACCTGTCATACCATCAAGCCGCACCCCATATTTACATATACACACACACACACACACACTTACAACTTACAAAGCAAGGAACTTCACATATATTCATGATTGTACTGTAGACTAGAAGAGTGATTAATCAGAAAGCAACCATAACAACTCCAATGAAAGTAAGTTACCTTCATATTGAATTCATATGGCACTACAGCAGCAGAGCCAGGAATCTAAACTAGGATGGTGGTAAATGACACGAAGGAACACTGTGACATCAGACTGCTAATCAACTATATTCTAACACATTCAACATAAAGGGGAAGCAAAACTGAAAAGGATTAAGAGCTATTCATAAACGAACACATTATGCTTGAAAGTCATATACAAATCAATTCATGGCTGTGTACCAATGAGGATGACATTAACATCACTTACAGAGTTTCAACTTTTTAAAATATGCGGATACCATGGATTTCGGGTACGGCTTTGTGGTGAGACAAGTTGGGAAGTTTTCGGGTTGTTCAATCGAGAGCTTGTGTGCTATGCCACCTGAATGCAGTAGATCCTGATTACTCCTTTTGTAAACTGATTTTCGTTTCTCTTAACTACAGAAAAGGAAAAAGTTTGATCCTGTGTCCCGAGTTTCAGTCAATCACCAGCAAAAACGAGGCCATGACCACTACTGAACTAATTTTGAGTTAGTATTGTTTTTCAGTGTGCTGTACTACTTTTAACCATGTGATATTGATAGCCTGTTGGAGATAATTGTCAAGATAGACATGCATTACAGAATAATTTTCATACTCTGTTAGCAAAATTGCGTTCATAACTTCTCCAAAAATGAACCATACTGATAATTGATTTCAGAAAACACTACCTTTTTCTTCCTGAATGATTTTTAGATTTTATATCTTAGAACATAGCTATGGCATTAGGAGCATGTTTGAAGAGTAAACTTAATTGCCCCGTTCTCCGATCCGTTTATGCCTGTTGAACATGGATCAGAAGACAAGTTAGGTTTTAAGCTACTTTATTAGCTATTTATGCTTTTGTGTGTTTGTATACATTAATTTGTTGATTTCTTGATACCGTAACAGTAGACAGAAAGCATACCAACCCACCACCGTAAACAGGTGGGGGAAAAAACCATACACAGAGACGATATCCAGAGATTCATGATGTCAAATTTATCAAAGTTGAACAATGGCAAAGCCTGTTCATCATTAAACCAAGCGAGGAAAATGAAATCCACCTGGAAATTGCTTAACTTTGCTGCAATCTACGGAAAAACAGAATTCCTTCTTCCTTTCTAATATTTCTAGATTAGTATAAAAACCCCGTCAACTATAAGTTTATGAAAGGAAAAGCCGATTACTGCTCACAGAAAAGATTAAGATAATAGTAAGAGTATTAAGAGAAGACTAGGCAGACAAAATGGTATCAGAACCTCAACTCTGCTATCGAAACTATGCCAAGTTATCAATACTAAAACAATAGCATCACCAGAAGCTGAAACGAAAATCTGCTAAAGATAATTTAAACATCTGGTCACATGAAGAATTACACATCGAAATGAAGCGTAGACAACCTGTTCAGCGTAATTCTTATGAAGCGGTAGCAAAGCGAAGCAAATGTTCACATTAAGACTAAAACCCTAAAATTCACACTCACAACGCACAACACCATCAACATCTTAATATTCGATTTAACACTAAGACCCCCAATTTCTAATTTAATTTTCCAAATTGAATCTAATTACAATACCCAAATCTTCAAATTAAAGCATTAAAGCTTGATTCTGACCAGGGTCTATACCTGCTGGCTGGGTGCAGTCGGGAGAGGATGAGGATACGATGAAGGATGAGGAGGAAGGCTACGGGCAGAGAGAGACCGAGTGAGAGAGGGAAAGAGGGGGCGATATGAGCGAGAGAGAAAAGAGAGACCGAGTGAGAGAATGATGAGGATGAAGGGTGAGGTATATACCTGCTATGTTGCTGTGAGGTTGGTATCCAGTGGTGAAAATTTAAAAACAGCGCCTATTTTTTACAATTGCACCGCCAAAATTATGACAAATGCGTGACGCAGGTATTACATTTTGACGTCGCCCAATGTGTTTTTGCATAATGATCATATTGTGGCGTCGAGCAAGGTATTTCTAAAAAAAAAAATTATTATAAAATTTATTAAAATGTGACTTTACTCTCATTAAATTCAATTTTGTTTACATAAAATTCACAATAATGTATTTTTCTAACAAAAGCTCAACCCGAACTACAATAAATTTAAAGCTACTTAATAAATATATATATCATTCAATTTCTTAAGTGTTATGTGTACAAAATAAATAAATTTAAATCTACTTAATAAATATATATACCATTGAAATTTATGGGATACGCATTGTACGAAACTAGTTTCAACGATCCAATTGTCAAACTTGTTTGTTTATACTTTGAGATCGGATACGCCAAAAATCGCAAAAAACAAACATTCAGAGATCAAGTAACAGGACAAAACTTTTCGATGATTATAAACGAAAAATCACGATTTAATGGTTATTTTAACTCCGATTTTGATGATTTTTAATATCTACACTCCTTGATCCTATATGAATACAATGAACTAATTTGATCTTCCATTTAAAATATTTACACTAGTGGATACCACAAAATCTTATGTTATACTTAATAAAAGTATAAATAAACTCTAAGTGTTAGTGAATCTATCGTTTTGATGAGATACGCATTGTATGAAACTAGTTTCAAAGATCCAACCGTCAAACTTGTTTGTATATACTTCGAGATCGCATACACCAAAAATCGCAAAAAACAAACATTCAGATATCAAGTAACGGGAAAAAATGTTTTTACGGTTATAAACAAAAAATCACGATTTAACGGTTATTTTAACTCCGATTTTGATGATTTTGTACAGCTACGCTCCTTTATCCAATTTGAATACAATGAACTAATTCGATCGTCAATTTAAAATATTTACACTAGTGGATACCACAAAATTTTATGTTATAATTAATGAAAGTGTAAATAAACTTTTAAGCGTTAGTGAATCTATCGTTTTGATGGGATACGCATTTTACAAAACTAATTTCAACGATCCAACCGTCAAACTTGTTTGTATATGCTTCGAGATCGCATAAGCAAAAAATTGCAAAAAAAAAAAACAAAAACCATTCAGAGATCAAGTAGGAGGACAAAACTTTTCGACGTTTACGAAAAATCACGATTTAACAATTATTTTAACTTCGATTTTGATGATTTTTTACAGCTACACTCCTTTATCCAATATGAATACAATGTACTAATTTGATCGTCAATTTAAAATATTTACACTAGCCACTTCACCCACTTAATACCTGTAACGACATGTCCCCAAAAGTTACAGTCTTTATAATTTTTAAATGTGAAATTTCGAAAATGCCCTTCGAGGCAAATGCGTTGACTTTTGTTGAATGCCTTGTCGAGACATGTCCTCATACTACTCGTCGCTACGAACGAGTAGGCGTAAACGGATCGTGATTTGAAGTTATAACGAATGAGATATTAACGTTTGAAGTTGGGGGCATTTTAGTAAATTAATTAATATCTAGAAAGCTCCAAATTTTTTGAGCCAAATCTGGAAAGCCACGTGTGTGGCTAAGATTGTTGGAAAGGAAAGATAGGCGGTGGATATGAAGGAAAAATGAGAGAAATGAGGGGGATGTGAGGCCAATCGAAAGAGGAGAGAGAACTGAGGTGGCCAATCAGGGAAGAAAGAAAGGAAGGGGAGGGAGAGAAGAGAGAGGCACGAGATCACGGATCTCTGCCCAGTTCGTGCGACCCGACCCGACGGGGCTTGCAAACCCGATGCCATTCACCGCAAATTGAGGCAAATCACCACTTGGGAATGATTACCTAGCCTTCCCCCTTTCATTTCCACCCAAAATTAGGAGGAATTTGGTGCTAGTTTTGGAAAAAAAAAAACCCAACAGTGGAGCTTATGGGTGTTCAGTGACAATCCGCAAATCGTGAAGCTAACTCAACCCATTTCCACCACCAATAGGCTCCCCTCAATCTCAAGAACAAAGCCCAAATAATGTTTGAGGCGTTGGAGTGAGTTTGGAGGTCGAATCAACAATTACCTAATTTTAAGGGTTTCCGGTGGGTTTTCATGAAATTGAGGCTTTTGCTAGCCAAATTGGCATTAGTCACAGGTATGAAACTTGCTCTACTCATCAAGATTTTCATTCCTGTAAAATTTGAGAATTTTTAGAAATAGTTGAATTTTCCCGCGAGTCGGGGCGGCGCATGGCCAGTGGGCCGTCGATGCTATTTTACGCTAAATTGATAGCTTGATCTCAGATTTGATGTCTGTATGATGTGATTTGATTATTGTGGACCTAGTTTGATTAAGGTACCTCACTTGATTATCATATGAATTGATAATCCAATCGTTGGATCGTCACCAAACTTTAATATGTTATAGCACATAATATTTGAGGATATTAGAAACTTACGGATAGGGAATTTGACCTACGGATCTTCCAGAATAGGATATGTAAGTTATATGTTTTATTGATAAGAATTCTAAGACATGATTTGATAATTGTTCTAGACGCCGATCGTTCATGACGCCTTGATGTTTGTGCTAGGGAGTTGTAGCGCAGAATCCAGGTGAGTGGGCTTTTGTTTTTCTATATATACGTATATATGTTTTCTATTTTCCCAGAAATTGTTTTAAATGGATTTACACTTTTAAATGCCATGACATGCTTGCATTTCATTTTATTATATGTATTGTTATGTATATGCATACTATTGTATGATGCTACAGAGGCCAGGTAAGTTTCAAATGAGTACTGTGTAATGTTAGTGGTTGCATTGGTTATGGTTATACGTAGATGTATGTAGAGCTCATTATCCTGCACCCTGGTATTAGTGCTCCTGCCCGTGGCTAGGGCACAGTCCTTCACGTGATGTTCACCTCATGCACTGCACACTCACTTTAGATACAAGTTTGGTGCACAGCCTTGTCGTACAGACCATATTAGGTGGTTCCGACTCGTAGATGAACCGCGATTATTCGCACAGCCTTCATGTAATCGTAGCACTTGAGCGTACTTATTTACACTCAGCCCTCTCGTACAGACCACAACAAGTGGTTCCAACTCATGTGTAGGAATTTATTAATGAGCTATATGTTTAGTCGTACATGTCGCATTAGGTGACTCCGGTTGGCATATCAATTTACATTGATTTATTTCACCTGGCTTACTTATTTCATCGCTGAGATACTTAACATGGCATATACTTGGATTTCACTACTCTTAAGCATGATTTCTGATAGGGATTTTACTACTCATGTGAATGCGATAAAAACTCTTATAATACTTGCAAGAATCACAAGGTTGTAGTATAAACGGATCTTGCAAGGTCATTCTCCACAGGGATTATTAAATAATTCGAAACAAACCAAGTTTCAATTAAATATTGTTTAGTAGAAATTGAGGTGATTGATTTTATAGCCTACTTAAATTAAAAACGAAATTAATTAATAAAAATAAGACAATCTGCAATATTAAAAACTAGAAGGAAAAGAAAACAGTTTTGAGAGAAATCAAATTAAGAAAACACTAGGGTTCCACCATCACCTAGCAATCCTATGAACTTTTACCAATTACTTATGATCTACACATGCCACTTTGAAAGTTAGATTTTCCTAATTCATATTCTACTTGGAACCTCCAACATAGAACGTATATCTAACATGCAACCCGTCCGGACATTCGGATCAAATATGAACAGGAAAGACTCATTATGCTTTATGAAAACCCTTTGAAAAACCATGCAACCCTTAAGACGTGGTGTTTATCCTAAGTGAAATTACAATTATTAATCACAAGAAGCCAAAGTCAATTTCAGGGAACCTTCCGACCAAAATTGCATCAAATTACTTTTCTAAAGATCATAATGGTGATCAGGCATTAAGACAATTATATAGTTTTTATCCCGGTGATTAACAATTCAAAGTATACATGCAATCAATCATAAGCAATTAAATAAAAATCACATATTCATGCTAAGGCTCAAGGCTTCGCCCTAGCAAAAGAAATTAGTTACGCATATTCATAATTGAAATCATAGAAAATATTATTAAGAAAAGGATTGAAAACACCTTCAAGTAGAAAATCTCCAAAACCCTAGCAATTCTCTTTGTCTCCAAAATTGCATAAAATAAAAGCGTAGTGAAAATATAGTAGACGGCCAAGCAATAAATCTGCCAAGCCCCCATACAAACCCTAAAAACCGGTCCTTTATTCTCCCTAGGAAACTAAAATTAATAATCCAATAAAATAGGAAACATAACCCTAAATTAAATGGTAAAATTCGCCTAAAATCTGAACAGCCACGTTTTGGACCCATAAGCTGCTCCAAAACTAGCCCAATATAGCTGGATTTAATGTTTGGAATATTCTGAACACTTCTCCAAAAGGCCACGAACCCATTCGAGGTCATCTTGGGCTTCAAAAACGCAATTTAAGCCCAAAAACGTCATTTTTCAGCACTGCGCATCGCTCCTTTATTTTATCGCCAGAAAATAACCGCTTGGTGGAAAAATCCCAAATTTTTATAAGATCAAGCTAAGTGACTCACGAATGTCTTCCAACTGGAATTATTCCAAAATTCGTCCATTTGATCCTGTTTTTCTCTAGAGGAAGTCGAAAGTCCTATATTGAAAATACAATTCAAAGTATCAAAATTCTTCCAAAATATTAACCAAAATATACTAAGATTAGGGTAAAATATATAATATAAAATATACTCATCAATTTCTATATACGTATGTATTATTATTTTCTGGGAAATTATACGGGTTTTACAACGAGGGGTTATAACTTTTTCAAAAGGTTTTTATTAAAAACTTTATTTTTAGGCCCACTCACCCTTGTTTTACGCCCCTCCAGGTTTTAGCTGCTGA